TTTGCCCCACTGTATTTTTCTTAACATTCAGTAGCAATCTGCTTTCCTGCATTTTCTGTCCTGTAGCCAAGAACAGTAAGGACAAGGCCAGAATTTTCATAATGTAACACTCCTTCAGGTACTTACAGAGGTTTTTTTCCCTCTCAGATTTATCAAGGCTAAGCAGTTTCCTCAATTTCTCCTCAGACTCAGTTTTTAACCCCTTGATTGTTGTTTTTTGTTTATTTTACAATACTTATATATTGCTCATACAACTCCTTCTCATCTTTATTGCCCTTTTCTGAACTCATTTCAGTTTGATATTGAGAGGCTTTAACAGTCTCTGAGTTTATCACATCTTTGGCTATATTTGAAAACCTTTTCTTCTATCAGTTCAATCTAGTGAGACATAAAAGCCCCTTATATTTTGTTTAGCTGTTTAGGATTAATCTGCGACTTGACAATTCAGGTTTGATCTTATTCTAATTCTGGGCTTTTTTTTTTCCTCTACTGTTTTCATTGTATTTGGTTCAGTTGCAAAGGAGGAAGCACCAATTCCAGATGCGACTGGGTAATAAGATGAAGCAATCCAATGAAATGGCGCCTCATTTTTATGAAGCCCTATTGTTTATACCTTTTAACATTATTTCTGTGCTACCCCAATCATGTAACTCTGGGTGGCTTACAACAATTAAACACATAATACCATAAAACACCTAATTCCAACAAATGGATGAAATTATTATGTAAACCCAGCCAATAAAATCTATAAACCATAGATGCATCAAGTTTTAAAAGCCTGGTAGAAGAAAATTCTTTTTAATTTCCTCCTAAATGTCAACAGGAAGGGGACCATGTCTACCTTGGGAGCAAACCATTCCACAAGATAACAGCATCAACAGGCAGTTTTCATTCACTAGAAGTGGATAGCATATTTTGCACACTCAGATGTGTAAGTTGGGCAAATTCTACTAGGAGCAGAGTGTCCTTAGGAAACCAGAACCCAAGCCACGAAGGCTTTTTTAGGTAATACACAGCACTTTGATTTGTATCTGGAAACCTAACAGTTAGCCAGTGCTCCTGCCAAAGGAAAGGTGTTCCGTTGCTGAATACTGTAGGTTTGCATGAGTCAGCACATGGGCCACCACATTCTCTGTTAACTTACATTTTCAAATTGACTTCAAAGGCAGCCCCAAGTAAAGTACATTGCAATAGTCCAAGTGTGAGGTAATAAGGACATAAGTCATTGTTGCTAGCAATTCCAGTTCCAGGTACAGTCTCATCTGATGCAGCAGAGGAGCCTGGACACAGGTTCTCCTGACAAGTTTTCATCTGCTCTTCTATCAAGAATCATGAGTCCGTGAAAATTCCCAGATTGCAGACCTGCTTTTTCTGAGAGAGCCCAACCACACCTAAAACCAAGAAGCCATACACTTGGTTTTGCATGTTTTCATCCTGAGCGTGTTTTGACCTATTTAGTTCCTTTTAGTCTCCAGGCACTGGGCCAGGACATCCACTGCATCTCCTGTTTAGCCCAGGGTTGAGATATACAGCTGAGCATCATCAGCATACCAGACAGACCTTCCAATGGACTGTAATATATATACATATACAGGAGAGAGGACTAAGACCTGAGGTGCCTTACACTGGAATGGCCAGAGCCTTGATCTCTATTCTTTGATCGTTATCAACTAGAACTGACCACTTACAAAAGAAAAGAAGCACTATAAAACAGTGCTTACAGCCCTCAACTCTTGTAGATGGCATAGGATGAATCCCATGGTTAATGCTATCAAAGGCCACTGTGAGGTCTAATAGGACCAGAAGGGCTGCACTTCCTCATCCACAACAACAACCAATCCAGTTATATATGATGCCTAAGTGTGAACCCAGACTGACAAGGATTCAGATTATCATCATCTTTCAAGGACCTCTGCAGCTGAGCCCCAACCACTGACTTTTCACCACCCTTATTGCACAGTGTGGCTTGAACATGGGGTGTACTTATGATTGGTTAAATTCCTTGTTTGTTTGTGCCATTGTTCTAGGCAACAGAGAGTGGATGACAGGTAAATCACATTAGTACTGGCAATAAGTCCTAATCACTCCCAAGGAGCTAAGAAAGCATGATGCCTGAGCAGGTCTCAGGACTCACTGGACATGGTAGTTACCGTGTGCAGGAATAATTTCAGTGATTAATAATTTGTTTATATGTTAAATCTATCCTACTTTTCCTCTAGGACCTGAAGGTGGCATACATAGCATTCCGCCTCCAGTTCTCACAATAGCCCTGTGGAGTGAGATGGACTAAGAGGTAGCAACAAGGCTTAGAGTGACCTAGTAAGCTTCTATGGTTAAACATAGACTTGTACCTGGGTCTCCTAGGTCCTAGTCCAGTACCCATCTCACTACACCATAATGTAATGTGAATTATTCTGCCCACTGTTGGCAGTATTACATACATTACCCATGGTTGCTACTTCTAGGGAAAAGCAGCTTCAAAGGCAAATTTAAAAGGCAGAAAAGTGACATGTATGTGAACAATTTTCCCCTGCTCTATTTTCCATTCTTTGCAGGACTCTCAAAACAGAACATCAGCTGCAGAGTGAAGTTGCAGGAACAAATTTATAGGCAGTTTTCTCTATTTCATATACCACTCAAGCTGTTTTACTTTAGAGGCAGCAGCAGATGGAGAATTAAGATTAAGAAAGGCAGTTCTGAAATAGGTCAAAAACTCATCTAGTTCAGGAGTTTATTTACACAGTGGATCAGTAAGTATATATGTAGTTGCATTATTCTACTTCTATATCTTGGTGATTGGTATTGAGAACCTGATTAGTGGTTGTGATCAATAGCCTTACCCTCCATCATTTTAATATTAAAACTCTCTGCTTTAATGGCCATCACTACATCTTCTAGCAATACATTCCACAGGTTACCAGATCTACCTTCACAAATTCCCCACTATTCAGCTTCATTGAAAGTCCATCAGTTGGGATGCACTGAGGAAGTGAGAAAACTTTAATCCTATCCACTTCATCAATATGCATTTGCTGTATATAATACAGATGTGCAGAGTTTGGGATTTGATTCAGAAGGGGCTTTGGAGCACAAATGCATCATCTACAACTCATTAAAGCAGTCGTATGTTTCCAGGATCACATAGCTGTTGTGAATGCTTCCCAAAGCAGCATGATTCTGGAAAAAGGCCTACTTACTTTAATGAGTTAAATCTAGGTGCTATGTTTGCACTCCTGTGTGTTCTAAAACACCTCTTCCAAACTGAATATGTAGCACTACAGTCCTAACATGCAGTTGCATGTAGTTTGCAGTTTGTACTAAGAGTGTGTTCTTCCTTAAAGCAAAATCTTAAGGTGTTGTTTTCACCCATTAATCCAGAAGAGTGCCATACTTTGCAATGGAAGTTGAATTTTAGAGCTGTGCTAAAAGTTATTTTGAGGACCGTTCTACCTTTAACACAGGGCTTTTGGAGGGGAGGAAGTGGGATTCAAGAAAATTATGATTTTCACTTTTAAGTGCCTGTGTATGTAGCCCTCAATTCTGCGCTTGCTGCATTCATTCATGAAGCATTATACTTAGAAGTTTTAAGAGAAATAAAGTGTGCAATTTGGGAAAGCAGCCTTTGTTCCAGAGGTTCTCTGAACATCCTTTCAGGACTGGAATGGTGAGATCATGTCATGGGTGCTTTCACATGTGCTTGCCTAGTCAATAACTCACCAATAAGCAAAATGGTCAGGTGGCTGTCTACTGCTTCCTCTAATCTACCAGGATGCTTGCATTCCACCACCTGTCATTACTCATAAATCACCACATTCTTGTCTTCAGGGTTGAAATGCAGAAAATGAAGATAATCCGGCCTTCCCCCAGTATAGCCAAGTACACTATGATCTTTCACACTAGAGACCAAGGCAATGAGGCAAATGGCCAGAGGTGAGTTAACACATCTGTGAAGTATATTCCATTGGGAAGCATAAATAGGTGATGGGAAACTAGACTGTGGGCTGTGTTCCTGCTAGAAATGTTTAGAAGACTCTATGTACATCTGAGAATGGATGATTGTTTAATATGATACAGCCTCTTAAGCTGCATTTTAATATATGACTTTATAATCCAACTGTTTTCTCTCCTCTTTTCCTCCTACCCCCAACTTTAAAATGTCCTCAGAATGAATCTCTTACATCAGGTATCTCGAGTATGGAAGACCGATGGGCTAAATTCATGCTCCTATAAACTGCTTTCAAAAGAATACAATCCTTTATATACCAATATTACAGTGGATGTTGGAAGGCAAGCTAAGTTTTCATAACCATTTCTTTTGCCTAATAAATTTTATTAGAATGGACCAAAAAAAAAAAAAAAAAG